CGGAGCGGCTGGGCCCGTGAGCCATGGCCGCTGACCCTGCGTGTCCGGAGCCTGTGCTCCGCAACGGGAGAGGCCACAACAGTGAGAGGCCCACGTACCGCAAAAAAAAAAAAATTGGTGGGCCTCTAACTGCGAGTTTCTGTCCGTCATTTGGTCTGAAGTGTCTGACTGTATTGCTCTGCCAATTGCTTCTTTCTCATGTAACATGTGCAGTCTTCTCTAAGAATTGTATTACTCTTTGTTCCTTAAAATTACTTGATGGTGCTAATTTGGCTACTTTAGATTTTAGTCAGTTTTGGATGACTGATTTGTGGGTTATGTTTCAGGCCAGTAGACATCACAAGTCATGCCTTTTGGTTTATTCTTATGGTTGGCTTGTTTTGAAGTACTGGGTGTGTTTATTCTTTGTTGCTTCTAGGTTACAAGTTATAATTTCTTTTACAAGGAAGAACAAGGTAGCTCACTCGCATCAACTTTACTTTGAGCACCTCAGCCTTGGACGTCAGACTGTCTGGGGCGGGCAGCTTTCTGACGTCTCACCAGGAGAGCCCGCTCAGCCTCCAGGTGCAGGCCTCGTGTATCTAGGTGGAGAGAGGGCTTGTCATTCAAGGAGGGTTACTTGCGTAGCATTTTAAGTTTACTACTACCTTTATTTTAGCATTGCTTTCAGTCCTTTTATCATCAATGTCAGATGCCTCTAAAATTCTCAAGACTGCAGAGATGGGGAATTGCTCTTTTGCAGCCCATTAATCCATTTATAATGTATCTTCTGCTTAGGTTCGTGGTAGAAAGCAGAATTTACCTACTTTTTTGTCATTGGAAGAAACAAATGACTCCTAGTACTGCAGTAGTTTGGGGAATGACATTTCCTTTCAGTGCTGAAGCAGCAGAAGGGCGAATTGAGTGGGCGGGGCCTCTTTTGACCTGACAGCTGGAACTTTGATACATTATTTACAGAGTGCTTTTGGTTGGAGTAGAAATGTTGGAATAGAAAGTATTTGCGTAAGAAACAGGAAGTGGTTCAGGGTTTGTTGTTTGCTAAGTCGTGGTGTGACCTTGGAGGATTCTCTGGTCTTCTGAAAGATGTAGCCTGGCAGTAACACGAGGTCAGGTGGCACCATGGCCGTGGCAATTACTTTTGTTCCATTTTAGCTTTTTTTTTTTTTAATATTTATTTATTTATTTTGGCTGTGCCGGGTTTTAGTTGTGGCACACGGAATCTTAGTTGCAACATGTAGGATCTAGTTTCCCGACCACGGATCAAACCCAGGGCCCCTGCACTGGGAGCGCAGAGTCACCCATTGGGCCACCAGGGAAGTCCCTCATTTTAACTTCTTAATGTTGGCTGATTGTGACCAAATATGAAATTTTAGAGACAGTTGTCAATTTGTGTTTTTGCCACCTCAAAGTTAAACAGCAGTCAATGAAGAATTTCAACTAGACATATTATCTGGAGTTTGCCCCATATTTCAGTCATCACCCAGGTATTAACTTTGCCTCTTAAGATCTAGAGAAGATTGGCTTATTTTGTTTTCATTCTCTAAAGCAGCGGTTGGCAAGCTTTCCTCTAAAGGGCCACATAGAATATTTTAGACTCTGTGGACCATGCGATCTCTGTTGCAGTGACTCACTCCTGCTGTTGTAGCCTGAAAGCAGCATAGGAAATACACTGAATTTTGAATTTTGAGGAATTCCAACTATCTGTGTTGGTGATCTGAACTTTTCTCTTCTTGAGATCCTGGATTAGAGATCTCAGAAAATTCTAGTTAATGTGTTGAATTTTCCTCATGAATATGACATTTGAACATCCCTTAATAACTCATTAAATGGTTACTAGTGCATAGATTTTGGATATCTGTAAAAATTGTCAGGAAAACTTGAAAGCATTTGTAATTTTGGCTCATTTTGTGGCCTATGGCGAGGTTGAAAATCGTAATTTGAGACCTGGGCATTACTGTTCTCAAGGGTGCTAGTCTGGTGTTCTCTTCTTGGACGGTAGCATTGCCTTGACTTTGAAAATGCCCATGGAAGTAGGAGAGACAGACCGTCTCCGCACGCTGCCCTGCTGAGACTCTCAATCGCTGGCAGCTGGTTCGCTTTCCATATTGAACCCGAGCGCTTATCATGTCCCAGGTACTGTACCAGCCTATGTGTCTGTAAAGACAAATCAGCCATGGAGCTTGCTTTTGACAAACAAAGCTTAGTGGGGAAACCAGCTACTTTTTTTTTTTTTTTTTTTTTTTTGCGGGCCCGTGGCCTCTCCC